GCTTGACAAAGCCCTGGCCGGGTTGATTTAGATGGGATTGGTCCTGCCTAGAGCAGGGGGCTGCACTTGATGACCTTCTCGTGTCTCTTCCAGTTCTATGATTCTATGATAAGGGGATGGTTTGATGAGATAACATGATCTTGGTAACTAATTGACCATTCATTATCAGTGGGAAATAGATCAATGGAGGGATGATAGGAGTTACTATAGAGAACTTTCTGGGTGTCTGGCTGGTGAGTCTTGCCCACATGCTCAGGGTTTAGCTGATCACCATATTTGGGGTCGGGAAGGAATTTTCCTCCAAGGTAGATTGGCAGAGGCCCTGGAGGTTTTTCGCCTTCCTCTGTAGCATGGGGCACAGATCACAGCTGGAGGATTCTCTGCATCTTGGGGCCTTCAAAGTATTTGAAGGCTTCAATATCTGAGATATAGGTGAGAGGATTATTCTAAGAGGGGTGGGTGAGATTCTGTGGCCTGGACTGTGCAGGGGGTCAGACTAGATGATCATAATGGTCCCTTCTGACCTTAAAGTCTATGAGTCTATGAGAGTGGAATTTATCTTTCATCATCTATGCGGTCAGTTCTGCAGACTCCATAACAATGAAAATACTGGACTTAATTTCTTCTGTGAGTGGTAGAATTGTAAGGATGGCTTCCTCCCATGTATTACCTACTTGATATTTAAGATACACATAGGCTACGTCTAGACTGGCATGATTTTCTGCAAATGCTTTTAACGGAAAAGTTTTTCTGTTAAAAGTATTTCCGCAAAAGCGCGTCTAGTTTGGCACGGATGTTTTTGCGCAAAAAGTGCTTTTGCACAAAAGCATCTGTGGCCAGTCTAGACGCGATTTTGCGCAAGAAAGCCCCGATCTCCATTTTAGTCATTGGGGCTTTTTTGCGCAAAACTGTTCTTCCCTGTCTACACTGGCCCTCTTGAGCAAGTATTCTTGCGCAAAAGGGCTTTTTCCCGAGCGGGAGCGTGAAGTATTTGCTCAAGAAGCACTGATTTTGTACATTTGTGCAAATTCAAGCGGCCAGTGTAGAGAGCTGGTAAGTTTTTGCGCAAAAGTGGCTGCTTTTGTGCAAAATCTTGCCAGTCTAGACGCACCCATAGTGTAAATTGAGGATTGTAAATCGCAGCTTTATTACCTCTCCAGAATTAAAGTGTAATTTAATTCCTACATTCATATTCTCTGTTTGAGGAACTGTGATAACCTATGTGGGCTGGCTTTCTAATGTGAATTGGGATTTATTGGCTTGGGTACGGAGTCAGGTCGGAATCTTGCATACTCCCAGTTCTTAAATACCAGAGACCTGTAATCCCCAGGCTCCATTTTTTCCCCAGTTGTATAACATCCTTTGAAGTTCCAGATTCAGAACTACATAACATTGTCAATTTACCTTGTAGTCTTACTAAAGAACTTTAGTTATTGGATAGCTTACTGGGATCTTCTGAGGTGGAAGAGCAAGTACTGGTAATTAATCAGTGTAACCTGGCTGTGCTGTAGAAGTAGATGAGTCCCAGTGGGAGATTTAATTGAAAAACATTAACTTTCCAAATGGGCTAGTTGAAGCCAGGCGGTTAGAGCATAATTCTTTCATCCCAGCAACTCAAATAATTTTGAGTAGTGAACTTTGTAATGCATTTGCAGGCCACCAAATGTTAATTGTATAGTGTCAGTTAAAAATGCCACCTGGAGATTTAATACTGTGCAGTTGGAAGCAGTTCATGGGATAAAGCTGTTGTCTCAAACCTGCATGTAGATGGAGCTGACACAGCAGCATTCCTTCGGGATCAATGACCCATAGGAGGCAGTGTCAACTGCCAAAGCAGAGAGCCAATCATGGGCATACCGCTAGCCGTCCTGGATGCTCCCTCTTCCACCAATCACATCATTAAATGCCCTCCATCATAAAGAAAGGCATCATGCTCCATCCCTCCACATTCGCATGCAGAGCACTGCTGCACACAGCTTCCTAAATTCATTTACTGTGTTACTGTGCTGCTCTTATTTGTGGCCCTGAAGACCTTACAATCTAAGTAAAAGATAGGCACATTAACGTATCTGCTGCCGCTGCCGCTGCCTTTGCAGAGTCCTAGCATTCTGCTTTCTTGCCTCTACAGCCTAGAAATTTAACCATGCTTCAGGGCCTTCTATGGGGATGGTGGAATTGAGAACTGGATTTTCTCCCAAAGTTAAGGATGAAGTCGAGAGCCACAGTTGACTACAGTTCTGCCCAGTGGCATGGAGTGAGAGCACTATTACCAGTGATCAATGTTCCCTCTAATTTTTTTTCATCCATGTGCGGAATACATTTTGTTTTGTGCACCGAGGCATGTGCTCCAGCAGTAGAAATACATGCTGCCAACTCTGGGAATTCTGCTAATCAGCTGAGAAGCATTTGAATCTCTCCTGGGTGGCTGCCCAAGTGCTTAGCTTGCAGGAACCACTGCCAGTGACGATGATGATGAATAACAAACCAAACACTGATGCTGCCATGCTGTGTAGAGCTCTCCAGGTGGGAGTTTAAATAGACATGTTTAACATCCTACTGGATTGTCATATTGCCCCATTTTCCTTTTGTTAGTCTGGACAAAATAACATGCTAATTTCAG